TTTGTTAATTATTGGAATGATCAAAATAATTAGGCTTCTGTATTTGCTGTAAAAAGTTTAGGTTTTATTTAATCCGTTTGCTTTCTTTTTTGTCATTTCTAATTGTACCATTGGGTTGGTGTCATGGATGTTTCGTTATTTGCTGACAAGGTGATATTGGCAAACATGCAGTTTGGGTGGGGGGAGAGACAGTTCTTTTGATGAGCGAAGGAGGTGCGGATCCTCCACTGATGTTGCGACCGCTTCTGGAGACTCAAGAGCAGATCTTTGGCGCTCACACCTCCGGCCCAGCGCTAGAAACATTCCTGGGTGAGGCCATATTGCAACTTGCCTCTTCCAGTGACTTGTTAACAGCGGCGTTTTGTGAAGGCTCAATTTAGACAGGTGACAGCCCCATATCATAACCTACCCTTATGAAGCCAGATGGAGAGATGGAAGCGCTCACTCTTACGCCTGAGGCTACACATTAAGAGAGGCTTTTGTCAGTGTCTGGTAGGAGTAGGATGCAAACTGGCATATGGGCAACTAAGGAAAAGAGCATACATTTACATAAGCAGGCAGGCGGTGCACGGTGGTGTGCTCCTGCAGTGCTTCCTGCTACCCAGTCGTCTCTCCCTTTCACTTTTCCGTGTGTATTCCCTGCATTTCTTCTCTCCCTCCCTCCTTCCCATCTTTCTCTGGCTATCTCTTCCTCTCTGCTTCCTCTTCTTCACTCATTTACTAAGGAAACAGTGCTGTCAATTTACCAAAGCTTTCAAACATGGGATCATTCATGCATTTTTAAGAAACATAAAGAACTCTCAGCTTAAATATAAACAAACTATAGCCAAAATGAAAGATTTATTGTGGTTCATAGCAACTACAGGTAATCCCCATTTTCTCCAAATTCTGTGGGAGAAAAAAAAAACTAATTTGTTTTTAAGAATCATAGCTGATCAGAAAGTTATCCTATTTTTCCACATTCCCTTAAAAAGCAATGTATAAAGTAACCAGCCTTTCTTCAGCACTCAGACTGTGGCCATGTATATCAGTAGGAGGATTTCCCTAATATCACTGCCTACCACCTTACATATCTGAGGCAGTGGGCATGCTTCACCAGCTCCTACAGTCGTCATGTAACACAATTTCCTGAGTAATAAGGTAGTTCTTTTAGTTATATGCCAGTATTTATTCACTCAGTAAACTTATAAACATTTGCTCTGAGACAAGAACATGGCTAGGTACCAAGAATACAGGCATGGTCCCTTCCTTGGGGACAGAGATGTCAGTAGGTGCAGGCAGCATGTGAACAACAAGAATCACATGGAGCCCAGTGCAGAGCTGGGAATAAGCAAGGAAAACCAGTGCATAGGGAAGGAGGCAGCAGATTGAAGCCCTTTTTAAAAAAACTGAGGATTTAAAATATATCATGAGAATCACTGTACCATGGTAAATAGGGGAGTCAGCCCCACAGAACATGGGCTAGAGAGGTGATTTTAAGACCAATCTTGGAGTGCTTCCGTAGCACGTGAAGGCTTTTGAAGTTCCATTAAAGATGACAGTCTTTAAAAGTACAATTACTTTTTAAAAAAAAAAAGTTACTTGTTTGATATCTTAGCAAACACTTCTTAAGGTTTTGAGAATATAGAGGGAACAATACAACCACCTTGTGTGTTTTGTTGATGAACAACCATTATATATTTAGAGTACCTAATATAATGATTAGTATATTTAAACATTAAAATGGTAACTATTTTTAAAGTTAATTTTAGTAAGCATAATTAATAATAATGAAAAAAAGATTTTGAAAATATGGACTGGCAGAGGGGAAAAATTACTAGAGTAAAGGCCAGTTAGGAAATAAGTGCACAGGTGAAGGCAGGAGATCAAAGGGCTGAGCTAGTGTAACACCAGGAGCATGAAGGGAAGAGACAGAGGTGACAGTATGATACAGAAAACCCAAAATAACACAAGTCTTGATTACTTGGTGAGTATAGGGAGTGAGAGGCATAGAGTTCCAGCCTTGAGGTGTTTCTTGTGTAGTAATTGAACAGAAAAATCTCTTACTCTGAGCTTTGGAATATAACAAGAAAAGTTGAATTTTTTAAACTAGATAGTACTTATCAAAGATGTGAAAAAAGACACCTCTTCTAGAAATACATTTGAGTCAATTGCTATGGAATCATTATAACATGTAATAGCAACACAGAGTGCAATTTGATAGCAACTGAGTGTAATTCTTCATTTTAACTAAATATGATTTCACTGTAAAAAAGTAACTTTTGAACTTCTAAGGTATGTTGCTCAATTGTGAAAGTCTATTATATAAACTTTGTGTTTTGTCTCAGGTGTAATTAAAAATGATAGTGGTTAATAGTACCTATCAAGATGGAAAGCCTGGGGTTCTTAAACATTTTTAATGGGCCATAAGAATGAAGGCTTAGGCATATAGTCTTGATGTAGGCCAATGTAAAACTTCATCTTTCAATGAGGATTACATTATTACTACATTTAATATTTTCAGAGTGTTAATTTTTCTAGTCACTAAATGTAGTAGTCTGCAATATAAGACTTTCATACTGTAACTGAGGGTTTTTTTTTTTCAAAATTCTAGTTCAGCATTCCTTTACCATAGAGATACTGACATTCTGATGTTAAGTTTGAGGATGGCTGAATGGATGGATAGACAGCCAATAGTTTATAGTAACCTAAGTAGAGGAGAGACACTATTACAATCTACTAAGATTAAAATGGGGCTTTGGTATTAAATGTTGGTTCTACTGCCTTATGACTAACTAGACATAGGCAAACATCCTAAACTCTGTACCTATTTTTTTGTTGATAAAAATTCTTAAAGAGATAGTTCCTTGTACACTTTTTTGTGATGAATGAATGAGAAAATGGACAGTGTAACTCAGCTGACTGTTTGGTGCACCATAATGCTGGGGAGGAGGAAGAGGAAGAGGTAGAGGTCTTACTGAAAGACACGGTAAATCAATTTTAAGTGTATTGTTAAATTTACCTATCACAATGATTTAGATATTTTGAAGGGAAATATTGCATTCTTATTTAGGAGGTCTTTGGTAAAAGTAACTGAATTACATGATCTCTAGCATCCTCTACCTCTATGATTAAATCTCCAAGAATAAATAAGCTCCTTTCAATGTAATCATGAAAACATCAAGATAACCGTCTTCTAAGCAACATACTTATCATTACATATGTTTGTTACCACTTTAATGGGAAAGCTATTAGCTTGCAAGCAAGTCAGAAAAGATTTTTTTTCCTTAATGTATTTGGTACAGGGTCTCACTACACAGCTCAGACTCGTAGTGATCCTCCTGTTTTCAGCCTCCTCAGCGCTGGGATTATAGGCATGCACTACCACACCCCATCTTGGTGGCTGGCTCAGCACCCCTAGGGGCAGGGTTACTGTGGCATGTGGTGCAGCAGAAAAGATTTTTTAACCACGAAGAAAGATTAAACCATATCAGAAACAGAAAAATTAAATCAGTGCTGCAGGAACTGATCACTAACCTTTGCTGTGCTATGGATCACCTATTCCACACAGAAGCCATGTCTCTCATTTATGTAATAATAATAATAATCTTCACATTGAGCCCAATAAAACCTATTCCCTTCACCATGCCCTACAATTTCTACACTTCCGTGAACTGCTATTTCTTTTCCTTTCTCCTCTTCTTTAAAGAATATTAACTTAGTCCTTTGGCTTTCTCATCTTTCAGAAAGGAAACTAGCCCATTCTCCTTCTGAAGTTTGGGCTAGCTCCCCTTAATGGAAGACCTTCACTCCAGATCTTCCATGGAAAGTTCTTCTGTTATTGAGATTTAACTAAAATGTTATCTTGCAGAAAATCCTTTTCTCACCATGGAATATATTTTTAAATGAACATTTTCATTTCAAGGGGTTGTTACAAAAGGTCATAATTAGTTTTGGTATATGTCATTTGAGAACTATTTAGTAACAGTGTTAACCAAAAAATTATGAATTCTTAATTAAATATTACTTAGAGTTAATATTTTCCTATGGAACATCTATTAGGTGCAGTTTAGGCACGTACTGACCCATGTTCTATGAAAGCACATATTATAGTGGAAAACCTCCATGTCCTGAATGAAGTAGGCCGAACATGTCCAAAAGTTTTCTCCCAGCAACACAAAATCTTAAACTTTCATAGTTGCTTTAAGGGTGGTTTTCTGAACTGCAACTTAGTAAAGACCAGGGAAACACTGGAAGAAAAACATCTAAGTGATACGCTGTTGTTAAGGACCTATGTGTTGGACCAGTGGTATAGCTCAGTGACACAGCATATGCCTGGCAAACATGAGGTCCTAAGTTCGATTCCTGGTATCAAAATTTAAAAAAGACCTATGTACGAGGGTCAGGTGAGACTAGGGATAGAATTCGTATTCACATATGAGATGCTCTGTATCCAGTCCCGAGCACCACCAAACGTAACACAGAGATGTAAACTGGATCATCTAAAACAATGTTCACAGATTACTAAGAAGCTCATGAATCAAAGTAGATATTCCCAAGATCAGAATCACTATCCTAGTGGAATAAGCAAGTACAACATCTTAGTAGCACTTAAGCATACCTCTTAGAATGGCACAGGTTTAGCCCTTCCGTGATCTACAGCCAGCACAGAGATTCTTTCTCCTTAATTGCTGCATTTTCATGTGTCAAGAATTTCAGGGGAGCTGGTAGCTCCCCAGAATGCTAGAAAGAGTTCATATACCTACATGTTAGATCTCTTAGGACAAACATACCACCTACCAGAAACATTTTCTAGAGATATAGTCTGGTTTTGTTTTGACAGCCCTATAGTCTGCTTTTTGGTCAATTTCTGTGATGGTCACATAGAAAGCAAAATCCTTTACCGTCTGTATTTTGTAAGTTCTCCTGTGTCAGGTTCAGGAAGTTTATTTTTCATCCATATTTTCCCAATGGCTGATATTTTCCCTCTGACGAACACTGTTTCTGCTTGGCTATTTCAGCACTTTTGTGTAATGGAAAATTTCACAAACACTTGCAAGAGATCTTTGTGCCCTTGGTTATCCGCTACGTGGATCTCATGGAGTCTTCCATCGCCCAGTCAGTTCACAGAGGTTTTGAGCAAGAGACATGGCAGCCTGTCAAGTAGGTATCTTACCTAGTGCTCACAGAGTATCTGCTTCTCAATCCTGACCTTATGACTTTACACATGGCCATCTATAGTTATTGCTTATGGTGGTCCCTTCCCACGTTGTTTGTTTCTTTACAGGAATATCGCCAACAGTCTTCCCAATGTAGCTCTTCCAAAAGTTCCAAGTCTGCCTCTTAATCTTCCACAGATTCCTAACTTTTCTACTCCTTCGTGGATGGCTTCTTTATATGAGTCCACGTGTGTATTCCTCACTTATTTCCTGGTGGTGTGTTAGCTAGTGCATGGCCTGGGCTGTGTTCTGTGCCAGTGTGTTTAGATTGCATGGCATTTATCATCATTGGTCGAGGAGTACCATGTTCTTGGCTTTATGTGTTTGAGTTTTTTAAATTGTTAAGCTAAGCTTAGAATGGTAAACTATCGATGGTAAATGATACAGACCAAAAAGAGAAAAACATGCATGTAAAAGGTGGTGCAAAGGCTCATTCTGTGACCCAAGGCATCTGCCTGGAGTGATATAAGCAAGTTCTCCTTATATAAAGAATCAGGTTGGCAAACACATTTCGAGGATGCTGAGGTTCAGCATTCTTCCTGCCCATGCTTATCTGGTGCATGTCGAAAACATTCATAAGAACAATTTCAAGAATATAATCTTTTTCTATTTTTATCTTAGGCTCCATATTAAAGAAACAGGATTGTATCTTCCAGGGAAGGGGTTGTCCTTTATTTCCCAGGACTAGGAAGTTCTTTTTTGGTTCCTTTCAAATCTCACCCAGGTTACATTGTTACTTTATTGCAGATTCAGCAACTCAAAGTCATTAAAGTGAAAATTTATGGGGCTTGAAATTGATCAGGCCTGAATTTAGGTCTTAGCTTAGTAATCATTCATCATCCTTAGCCTTGCTTTCCTCAACTCTAAAATATTTAACTCTTAATTTAGAGATACTTCTGTGTGGATTAAAAAAAATTACAAAAGTGCCTGCCACATCCTGTGCTTTCAATAAATGACTACGGCTAGTCATTGTGGCGTATCCCAGGAGCCCAATACCTGAGAACTAGTACTACTCTCCATGATCAGCATCTTCAGTCATTGCTTATTTATAACGACAGTTTTAAAACTGTGAGTTTTGTAGCAATCAAATAACCAAGAAATCATTCTGGGTTACAGGTATAAAGCACAAATGGTAACATCCTCGCCCAAGATCTTAAATGGAATCAGATAGAAAGAAAACCTAGTTAAAGAAAAAATTCCATTTATTGAGAACATACTAGGTTCTTTTTCTCATTTAATTCTTGTAACAACTCTGGGAGGATGTCATTATCTTCCACTTGACACTTAAGAAGCTTCAGTGGCACAGAGGTTAAGAAACTGATGCTGGCTAGATAGCTCAGCAGCACAAATGGCTGCCTGGCAAGCACAAGGTCTTAAGTTCAATTCCTGGTACCAAAAAATATAAAAATAAAAAGAAGTTAAGAAACAAAACTTTCCCAATGTCTCACAGCAAGTAAGTAACAGAGGCAAAATTTCAACCCAGCTTTCCTCACCTACAAAGCTTTCGCTCCTGCTCAATTTATTCCATCTCCAGGATACTTAAATGCATACTAGCTTTGTCTTCATACCATCAACTGTCAAATCTCTACTCAGCTTAGTATACATGCAGTCAGGGAAGCAAGAAGGAAATGACCAACAGTGAGAACAATAACATACAAAGAAGCATGGTCATATTTCTCCAAGTTAAACATCATCATTGTACATACAGTAACTACTAAGATATTATATTACTTGTGAATTTTTTTCTTATAGGCAAATGCCCTAGGACATTATAGTATGTACAGTGGTATATGTACAAGCACAGAATGTACAAATAAAGTATAATGAAACTTTCTAAATCTGTGCTTTGGAGTATTTCATGATATCGTTATATAACTTAACTCATCTTCCTTATTCTTTAGCTACTTAAGAATTTATTTGAACCAAGGATACTATTATGAGCTTTATGCTATAAAATTTAATTTCTCCCATTGTTATTTTAGTACCTTAATATTTATGTGAACATTGAAGCATTTATTATTGAAGACAACTTTTAAAAATATGAATTTTAAGGCAGGCATCATGACAAATTGAAGTGTTATAATAATTTATTTATTTTATTTTATTTTTGGTGGTACCGGGGATTGAACTCAGGCCCTTGTGCTTGCCAGGGAAGCACTTATTCCACTGAGCCATCTCCCCGGCCCCATGAAGTGTTATAAATACAATGATTATACATTCATCCTTTTAAGTAGAGTATAAAATGTATACGTTTTACATATTGATCACCGTTATCTTCTACCGAAGTTATTACTATTAGGTTCATGGTAACCAGAAGTATTCCTAGTGTTGCAGATACTATTGCAATTTACTTTTTGATGTTTTATTATAAGATGTTAAATGGCAAGAAACATCTCCATTTTGCATAAAAATTAAAGATACAACTCCTGATTAAGTAAAATAAATTATATAAAAGTAACCAGACTGGAGCTGTAGTTCAGTGGTTAAGCAAGCCTAGCATAGCCAGGCCAGGGTTCAACCCCCAGCATTACAAAAGTAATATATAAAAGTGACCATTTATTTGAAGACACAACCTGCTATGCATGGTTCATATTAACAACTAGTCCAAAAAGATAGAAAGGAAAGAAGGAAGAACAGAAGGAAGGAAGGAAGGAAGGAAGGAAGGAAGGAAGGAAGGAAGGAAGGAAGGAAGGAAGGAGAAGGGAAGGGAAGGGAAGGGAAGGGAAGGGAAGGGAAGGGAAGAAGGGAGGGAGAGAGGGAGGGAGAGAAAGAGAGAAGGAAAAAGAAGGAGGGAGGGAGAAAGGAAGGAAGGAGCAAGAGAAAGGGTATGTCTATACATCAATTCTTATTCAGTATATAAAATCTTCTAACTTTAGTTCTAGAAATGCCAGCAAGGTAAATTTAACATTGTCATATTTAGGAAATGAGCTTAGAGTCTGTTGTTCACATATAAATTCTTTAATCTGTTAGTAATACCTTTAGGATTGGTCACTGATTAAGAATAATTTAAATGAAAAAGCTCTGAGAAAATTGCAGGTTATATAGGCCAACTTCTAGAGAAAACCTATTTACATTTTTTCATGTATCTATTTAATTATAACAAACACTTATTATCTTAATTACACTGCCAGTTAAGCACATTTATTGTTTAGAGTTATAGCATACCATCAAATGGAAGGAAAATAATGTCCAGATTCCCTATAAGGATTTGTTACGTATTTTAAGAAGTCAATTTTAATAGAATTCTTCCTTTGCTATTCAGTAGATTTTGGTTTGATGATGGTTTTTGTTGTCATTGTGTTGTTTTAGAATATATATTTTTAAAGCTGCATTTTTCACAGTAAAAAAATATGAGACACAAATTTGTTTCTTTGCCAGTTATATCCAATTCAAACAACAGTCTTCTATTATACCAAACTGTTCAATGTGCTGCGGACATACAGAAATGGATGCTTTCTTTTACTTTTTTTTTTTTTTTTTTGCAGTAGTATCAGCATGGTTTGCTAGGGTTTTGTGTGTGTGTGTGTGTGTGTGTGTGTGTTTTTACTTGATGGTGTATTTGGAACGTAATAGGACACATGCAATGAGGAAAGTGCAGTGAGCACCATCGCTGTTGGGCCATGATTGGTCTCTTGAGAACTTGACCCTGAGGACATCCTGGATAGACGACAAGGAATCCCTGGCCAAGTGGGAAGCAGGAAGCAGCAGAGCGTGGCGATGGAGCCAGGATGCTGAGGCCAGGGTGGAGGGCAAACCAGTGCTTTTTGGTGGAACTGGGGATTGAACTCAGGCTCTTGCACTTGCCAGGGGAGCACTTATTCTACTGAGCCATCTCCCCGGCCCAGAACCAGGGCTTTATATTAGCCAGAGCAATGGGTGATTTTTCTAAAGCTAGCTAATTAATCTAAGCTGTCTCATTTGAATAATTTTATTTCTATAAAAATTATTCTCTATGCTCTTATAAAACTGTGTTTATGTCTTTATATTTTTCAAAATAAAAATATAAATTTCACTTTAGTATATGGGAGGCAGTTATTAGAAATCTGAGGACAAATGAATCAGCACGTTTGTTTTGCTTTGTTGTGTTTTGCTTTCGCTTTGTTGTCCTCTACAGTTAAGTCTCAATATGTTTTAATGTAGGAATATTTTACTTTCAAAACATGCTTCACTGTCAGACTATTTACTTGCATTATGGAAAGTAGTAACATTATCCTTTGTCCAAGTTAGTATATGAACTCTTCTGCAAATTAGCCCCGTGCATGGTGTGAAAATACAGTCCCTCAATTTTAGCATACTAGTAAATACATTGCAGATCCGGATTGCACAGTTAGAGCTAAGGGCCTGAAGTGCATGATTCTGCCCCAGCTTCAGGGCACCTTGAACACCATTTTTCCGTGTGGCCAGACCTTGTGTGAAGTTGGAGTTTAGTTGTGAGCTAGAAAAGGTACAAAGCTTTCTGAATTTAAAAAAAAAAAAAAAGGTTTGTTTCCCTCCCTGGCATGTTATTTTACATCTAGTTCCTGTTTCATGTTTACCTGTAACTAAGACAGAGCTGTAAGGTCCTTGTCTGCTACCTACCTGCAGAGAGACAGAAGTCATCGTGAAGACAGAAGGACGTGTGTGTGAATCAAAAAGTAAAGATACTAGTTGCTGAGTTCATCGTTGCATATGAATTTTCGTGTATGAAATGTCCTCCTTGGATTTGTCTCTATCTTAGAGATTGGTGAAGAACATTTAAAATGGTTGTCATTAATTTCCATTAGTATCCTTATCCATTTTACCCTATTTCATGTTATGTTGCTATCCTACTTTTTCTTTATTTTTCTCCTTGCCGTGTCTTACAAAGAAATGGAAAGAGCTAAGGAGGTAGCTCAGTGGTAGGACGTTTGCCTAGCATGGGTGAGGCCGTGGTTAGATCCCCAATGTATCTAATAATAATATTAATAATAATAATAATAATGCAAATTAAAAAGTAGGAAGGAAGAATTAGAATATTAAACAAAGGAAATGTTTGCTTATTAGAGATTTTATGTGATATTCTTTTGACTGATGGCAACAGATACAGACAGACAAAAATCAGTGTCCTGGTGATCCACATGGCTAACAGGGGAAGCTCATCGTGTTCTTCCTTTCTCCTTTCTCTTCTAGCAATGGCTCAGCAACATCAGAAGATCTTTTCTGGAAACTTGATGCCCTGCAAATGTTTGTCTGTGACCTTCATTGGCCAGAACAAGAATTCGCTCATCACCTAGAACAAAGGCTTAAGCTAATGGCCAGTGATATGATAGAAGCCTGTGTCAAAAGGTAGACATAAATTTGCAAGTTGCTGCTTACTATACCAGCACGCAGAGTACCACTTTCTACCAGGTGCCTATTGCAGAAAATCATTCTGTCTGTGCTGCCATTCTGAGCTGTAATGGACATTACATTCTTTGACCTAAATTTGGGGTCCCATGTCATTTATAAAATTGACCTGGTCCTTTTTTTCCTCAGGTCTCCCAATCATTGCCCTGATCAGTAGCCCCCACAGGATTGTCATCATTTCTGTTGTGTTCACTATCTCCTTAGGAATACTGCACTTTAAATTCCCAAAATAATATCTCCTGAGACATATAGAAAAGGCCTACTGAGTTTGTTATACAGTGTGTACTCTGTCTGTGTGCTGTGAAATAGCATGGCAAACTCAAAAGATCATCAGCACCCTCAGTATTTTCAGATATCTTCAACCCACATTCGAAGAGTTGCAGCTATCTGTTTGTCTTCTGTAGCATTTAACCAGAATTAAATTGAGGCTTTGGATTCTTGCAAATGTACTTTCATTTTCTTAATGTCTTTTACAAAACCAACATTTTATCCTGACTGGTCAAGCATACTTTTGTCCCTTGTTGTGATCCATTAAAAACAAATATGAGGGGCTGTGCGTGTAGTTCAGTGGCACAGTGCCTGCCTCGCAAGTGTGAGGTCCTGAGTTCAATGCCCAGTACCAAAAAAAAAAGTGAGGTACCATATTAGAATAACAGTCAAACACTGGTTGGAACAACTAAATATTCCTAATGATATTGATTAAGCCAAGAAAAATTCTATGTCCGAAACAATGTTCAGTGCTTCCCAAGAGCAAGGCTATGAATTAGATTGTTTCATGTTATTCAAAAACCATCTGTCATTCGAATGTCTCAAATCTGTGAGTAGTCTTTGGATACTTCAGCAAAACTTATTTCAAATTGCCTATTATACAGGTGTTTATTTTTTTTATAATTTTATTTATTTATTTGTGTGTGTGTGTGTGTGTGTGTGTGTGGCCAGCTCAGCCCACCAGGGGGCGGGGCTGGCTGGCATGTGGTGCTGGGGGATTGAACCGCGGTCCCTGTGCTTTGCTAAGCTTGTTCTAAGTAGGTGCTTTAGACCACTGAGCCATCTCACCAGCCCCTATACAAGTATTTAAAAAAAAAACCTGCCTATAATTTCTAGTTTTAAAAAACTCAAGTGACTTAAAGAAATATATGTCTGTTATATGCAGATCATTATATTTTATAATTTTTCAGACTTAATTTTGTTTAATTTGATAAGTCCTCAGTCAGCTTTAAGGGAAGGATGTGGGTTTTTTCTCCTATTGGGAAATAAATTCAAGCAATGATGTGAAACTGTGAAGTTTTCCCAGGAATTATATATAATATATAACAAAAGGCTTCATTTGAATGGTAATATTTTCTGAGTGACAATGTAAAGCCCAAAATACTACTGGATATTTACAAACTGAAATGTTTATTCTTACATAAGATCTCACATTCTGACCTTTCATCTGAGACACCTGTTTAGAAGCACTCGCGTCATGGGGTCCAGGCCCTGCCACCCCGCCCACTCCTCCTTTGCGTGTTTTATTTTTTTATTATTTTTTTAAATTTTATTTATGTATGTATGTATGTATGTATGTGTGTATGTGTGTATGTGTGTGGCCAGCTCAGCCCACCAGGGGGCGGGGCTGGCCAGCATGTGGTGCTGGGGGATTGAACCGCGGTCCCTGTGCTTTGCCAAGGTTTCTCTAAATAGGTGCTTTAGACCACTGAGCCATCTCACCAGCCCCTTTGTGTGTTTTAAATTAGCATCTTATATTGTTGCTTTCTCTTTTACAAAACAGGTAGGGCTTATGTCAGAATTTCTTACTCTAAATTTATGTTTTAATAACTAGAACAAGAGCTGCATTTGAACTCAAGCTGCAGAAAGCAAGCAAAACAACTGACTTGCGCATTCCTGCGTCCATGTGCACGATGTTTAATGTGCTAGTTGATGCCAAAAAGCAAAGCACTAAACTCTGTGCCCTGGATGGAGGACAGGAGGTAAGTGGCATGTGTTCCATGTGGACAGAGCCCTGGGAGGGCGTGCAGCAAACACGATCCCCTTTGCTCGTGTCAGCTTGTCTTTCTTCATATAAATGCTGCCTAAAATCATACAAGTGGCCATTGGATTTCAGGTACACCTTGTAGGTGTTGCATGTTTTCAAAAGCATTGCATTTTATAAGCAAATTAGCTACAAAGCTGCTTGCTTTGTTTATATACAAATTTACACTAGCCTCAATTTGCATTTATAAAAGTAAGCCATAAGACATAGTACATGAAATACTTTATTTACACAAAAGTCTTCATTTTTTAAAGATCAAGTAGAAATATGCTTAAAAATTAGCCCTAGTTCTTATCAATAAATACTTCACTGTTCCAGTTTGATTTATATTTGTTTGGTTTGAAGTTCAGAAATACAATCTCAGCTTGTCCCATGATTTATTTTTCCGGAGAGTGGTAACTGGGTGGAAGTTGATTTTAGATTATCTGTTTAAGGTGAAGTTTTGTTGCCTTTTTTCCATTGTGATTTTTTTTTACTTTTCCACCATCTCTTTATTTTCCTCCATGTCCTCATCATCCTCATTTCCCCCATGGCGTGGTCCAGTTGGGTTGTCAATGGGTAAGTTGTTGTTGTTGTTTAAGAACATTTTTCATTTGAATTATTATTTCTCAAAATAGGCGTTTTTATTTTCGCCTTTTCAAGTTAAAATGACATCCTTCCATTTTTAGGTGTTTAGATTGTGTGTGTGTGTGTGTGTGTGTGTGTGTGTGTGTGTGTGTGTACACGCACACATGTGTATAGGGCAGACACCTTCCTGTAACAGTAATAGCCCAAAAGCACATTGAGATACAGAAAAATACTTAGTGTCTTAAGTATTATCAAGGGTGAGGCTTCTTCACTGTGGGCCTGCAAACTCTATAAGCTTCTTTTAGCTTTGAAAGAGAGTGGCACAGGGTAGCTGTACACAAAGTCTGCATCCTTCCTAGGGAACAGGTACACGTACAGAACACAGATTAATTCTTGTTTTATTGCCCTTCCCCTCCCAGCCCACCTCCCTTATCTGGCTGTAAATCCACTGTTCCCATTTTCATTCTTCTTACTTTCAGTTCCCATTTATGGAGTTTAACACTCAATCTTTGTGGCAATTCGACATGCACCTGATGCATCTTGTGCTGTTTTACTTCCCAGTCCTCCCTTTCACGCCATCCCCTACACCCCTTCCCATGCCCAAAAGATCTACCTTCCTATTTCCTTCAGGTGTGCTTTTGTTTTGCTCTTTATTTGTACCTTGCCTTACTCAAATGAGAGATACCATATGGCATTTAAGGGCTCAAACCTTTTTGCAGAGACGATTGAGTAGGTTACACTCTTCTGATGTTGCTAAGATCTGTTCCTTATTCCGAAAGCAGGTTAACTCTTGAAAGTCTTCCAGCTTCCCACACGGTAGCCAAACTCAGAGCTACTCTTAAGGAGCAAATAAGTCTCATCCCAACACAAGGGCTTAGCTAAATGAGACTGTAGATAAGAAGGCCTACCATTTGTGACTTTCATACCTATTTAACGCAAGTACAGCCATTAGCTGCTGGGCCATAATGTATGTTTCTATACTCGTATTTCATGCTCTGAGCAACTCAGGAGAAACTTGTATTTCTAAAACCATAGGACATAGCTTACACACACACACACACACACACACACACACACACACCACTTTACTGACATAAATGTTACACAGTGCTCATAATTATCATGCTCCGATCACTTACAACATGATTTATTATCTCTAATGATCTGGATGCACAGGCAGCTGGCTTGGGTGCCAGTGACTCCTAATCACCTCTATGGTTTTCAGTACTCAGATGTAAGCTCTGATTGTCTGCCCAAGAATATTAAGTTTCTGCCTAAGCCCATTCTTTTCACATCTACAGTATAACATCATTTTGCCTGTTCCCATTATTTCTAGGTTTATCCATTTGTTCTTTTTTTTTTAACATATATTGCAGCACCTGACACATAATAGGCACTTAGTAAATATTTGTAAAGTGAATAAACATGCTGACTTGTAATTGCTTTGAAAATCTTCTCCTCTAAGAAACAACTCACTCTAGTACTTGAAAAGAAAAGCAGGCATACACAAATGCCAAACACTGCCCCATATTCATATGATTCTTTACATTAATAGGGGGATGGTTTTGAAGAATAACTAGCTACTGTTTGTTATGTCTGCACCTGTATCTTCTCACCAAAGACAATTAGTCCCCCACAACTTTCACATAATTAACATAGTTCAAAATGTCCAGGTGTAAAACCCATTAGCAACTCGGAAAAGTGGTAAATAAGAATTTCAGTGCAAAAAAAGGAGTCAATACAATGTGTAATTGCAAGGCTTTCCCTCTATAAATATGGGACATCTATATTTGAAATTGTTTAATATTGATACACACATCATGAGCACAGTTGAACAAGTAGACAGAATTTTACAAAACGCAACAAAGTTCTTGGAAAAAACTAAATCATTAGAAAACTCAGAACCATGTCAAAATACATACTACATAGTTAAACTTAGCAGAAATTATTTCTCAGTGAAAAAGAAATTACCACTCTGTGGTAAATTTGTTGTCTTTGTTGAAATGAAACCCTTGCCCCCTGCAGCCCCTCTGTGTTCCTATATTATAGTTCTGCTTTCTTACGTGACAAATGATGATGCAAACACACTCTGGCAGGGTCCAGCATGGAGTGATCAGTGATTAGGAATGATCTGCTCATGGAACAGCTGTGTGTAAGGAGTCAGCAGTCTCGGACCATTTCCTCAGGGACCCGTATTGAGATCACAAAACCAGTGCAGTGTTTAGGACCCTTGTTATCCATTGCTATGGAGAAGCAGTTGACTGCACTGGCCGGAGGCATTTTCTGCCCTTGGAGAAAATTCATCCAGTGATTCCTGAGGTTGAAGGTGAGGGTGAGAGCACATTCATAGGCAACTCAAGAAACCAGTGGACCTCCACCTCCTGCAGGATTTGTGCTCAAAGAAAAATGCTTTGTTTTCCAGAACCAAAGCCCAGTGCCTTTAAAAGATATCCCAAGAGAAGAAATTCATCTTTTAAGAAAGAGTGGCTAAAATGGAATCTAGTCCTCATCTCCTGTACATGTACATGTTTAGTTACTTTTCTCATTGCTGAGACAAAATACCCAACACCCAAAGTTAAAAGGGAAAGTTTTAGGTAGCTCACACTTTGTACAGGTTTCAGCGCATAATCAGCTAGCTGTGAGGCAGGTTGGCTCATGGTAAAGGGGCAGCAGTTCAGAGTGGAAGAAGACAGCAAAAGCAGCAGTGGAGAGAGAACACACAAGCCTATTTCTGTCCCTCATCTTGTCCATTCTAGCAGGACTAACACAGTGCCAAACTGGTCAGAAGATTGCTCCAGCTCTCACCCACCCTTAATCTCACACTGCACTACGAATCAACCACACACTCTAGATTCAACCACCTCCAAAGATAAAACCCTGGGAATACATGGGGCTTTGCCAGGACATGTAGACACAAACTATAACATGTAATAAGAAATCAAAGAATGATGACCACTTGAGTACAGGGAGGCCTGGGCTGTATGCAGGGCTTCACGTGTGGCTATCTTAGTGTAGGTATAGAGCCATTTGCTAAGGAACCAGGTCATAAACTATTTCAAATCTACCAAAACTATGGTATACAGTTGAAATATTTTGATAAGAATCTCACCGACTTTTATTGTTGAAGAAAAAAATTTCAAAATATGTACCGACAATGCTATCTGTTCATCTGAATGGAGGAAAACATGTCAGTGTGAGCTTAGATGATGTAAATGCCTCTGCAGATAAATTCTGTTTTTATTTCTTTATGATCTATTTTGGGGATGTTTATATTTATCTTTGAAAGCTATCCAGATCTCATAATGAACAATACTCTAACTGTTTTATCTGTATGTAACATACATGGATCATTGTCTTTTCACAGTATTATGTATTATATATAAATATACTATGCAAATACACACACACACACACACACACACACACACTCAGGACATTGCCAGACTCATGCTTCTAGACCACCCGTAGCATCTGATGAGGTCAGAGTTCATCAAATAAATTTACAGTAGCAGACCCCATATTATAAAAATCTAACAAACTTTATCCTATTTGGGTTTACCTCTCTGGTTATACACTTATAATATATACTTCACCATTTTTCCCTTTGACTTTCAATGTGTTTTGGTTCATTTGTTCTCATTTTTCTCTCCTCTTTCCATTTCCCCCTTCCTTCTTTCTCTCTGTCATGGCTAGATGAGATGGGAAAGAAAACAACAATTGAAAGTGTGTCTTACAAGAGGATTTCTTGGCTGCCACAGTTCATTCATTTTTCCTGTTTTGCAATAAAATGATCTTAAATGACCTCTTTCATGCCTTCTCCATTGATTCTTTTTTTTTTTTTTTTTTTTTCCGAAACCAGAGATAGAACTAAGGCCCTTGCACTTGCCAGGGAAGCATTTATTCTACTGAGCCATCTCCCCGCCCCTTCACTTGATTCTTTTAAGTAATTCAACCTAAAGCATTTAACATGCAGGAGCCCTGATATATTGTATCAAAGATTTCTAATGATACTTTAAACCTCTTATAAGAATGAGATATCTAACATGAAGCTAAGCTTTGAGGCTCAGACATATTTAAGAACCCCTTTGGAGGTCTTGGGTTTTTGTTACGGGGCACTTTTTGTGTTAAGAGGAAAACGAGAAGCTTGAATCTCCTGCATCCCTTTCCTGTTCAACCCCACTGAGGGGTCTGGGCTAGTATTTCATTTCCTCTTGCTGCTAGGACCCTAATCTGGAGCCAGATCTGAGGAGAGTTGTGAATTTGCATAAGCCCCTCAGCCACTCAGTCAGCTGTGCTGCTTTCCTAGGAACCAGGGGGGCCGCCTTCACAAGTGCATCTGTGAGGGCCTTACCCTGCCAATCAGTCTAGGCCCTGGAATCGTACACTTGGTCAAAACTGAGCCCACGCAGCAATGCGTGCAGTGACTGATGTAGCATGGAGCAGAGCCTGAAACACTAGCCAGGGTTATTCAAAACTCCTTTGCTTCTCTCTTGGCTTTCATCATGGTCTTCCCTTTAGACTACTCCAAAAGCGAAGGTATCAGTACTAGTGCAAGGCATTTACCTCTGGGTTTCTGTTCTACTTGCCCTACAAGGAGCTGCACACTGGGGAATCCCAAGCTTCCCTGGAAAAAAGTTTTGTGTTCACACAGAGAGGGGAGAGAGAGAGAGAGAGAGAGAGAGAGAGAGAGAGAGAGAGAGAGAGAGAGAGAGAGAGCGCTCACGTTAGGCCACTATCATTACACATGCACACTCACATGCAGGGAAAGAAAATAATTCAAAAGTTTAAAAATTATGCTTCCTCGTATTATTTACGTGGGTGGATGATGGCCACTTAACACTGTCAGAGCCCATGAGGGGGAGGGGATCAATCCTGAGTATTCCAAAGCGGGCCTGAGTTGATGTTTTGCTGTGTGTGGAAACTTTGAGACATGTTTTCAGAAGAAAAAAAAAATAGCTTTCAAAAACTTGCATCTTAGGAAACCATTCAGCCAGCAGCTATTAAGTTGGTCTAATGTTTTTGCTGACCTGAGTACTTTTACTCTATGCCTTATGTTAGCTGTTCCAAGAAGCCTTGAACCATCAAGATAGGGTTAGTCTTTACAAGTCACATTTTCTGTGAAGTGGCCATTGGGGACAATCTGCTGTCAGATAAATGCTTCTAAAGGAAGAATTACTGTTTAAATGGATGTGCCTTCACACGCCGTGGAAGCCCAGCTCCTGTTAATTTAAGAATGGACTCTCTAGCATTCTCTAAAGAAAGCCAAAAAAAAAAAAGTCTTTCAGGTTTACTTTAAATACATCTTTCTTTTTATTTATTTAGGGCATCTTTTTCATGAGGCTGCTGTAATAAAACTATGGGGAATGAGTGCTGTTTTATTTTACCTTTTTTTGGCCTATTAATTTGTTACCATCTATTCACCTTTGTTGACGAAATTTTCATTTTGCCCTTGCTTGAGCATATTGTAAGAATTGTATAAACTGCTGCTCCCTAGGCTAATAAAAAGGTCCTTTTAGAGAGAACAATTGGGAGCTCATTTTATTTGTAAGGCTCATTTAAAATAACTTATGAATGAGAGTTGTCAGACATGAAATGCTGTATTAATTAAACCTTTCTTGAGCCTTTTCTGCTTCTCCAGCTAAACCAACCCTTTAGAAAAATACATGGCCACCTTAATTACAGAGGAGAAGACAAAAAGTATCCTTCACATTCCTGAGCCTGAATAAGAGTAAGAATTCAATTCAGCTAAATAATAACCCCATTAGCTGCTTAACTCCACAGTGCACATGGGAAAATTTTCAAACCACAATGTAAAAAGTGTTGATTGGGTAGATCATTTTCAAGGTTTTGTTCTTTTAATGTTCAAAATGATCATTTTATGTAAAGTTGATATGTCATAACTAGTAGCTTATAGCCTTTATGACTTATGACAAAAGTTTTGTGTCCATATTTACTAATTCATCTTTGTCCTTTAATATCTAGCAACAGTACCATTCAAAAATAGATGATTTGATTGACAACAATGTAAAAGAAATCATTTCGCTGCTAGTTTCAAAGGTAATGTATTATTTATTAACCTTCTAAATCAAATTAAAAATAATTTTCAACTGAGAATTTTCAGAAATATCACTTGTGTTTCTTGATAATTGGGAAACTTTCATTTAAAAAACAAATGCAAGAGTTCTAATTTTTTGAAAATTTGTAAGCAAAAAGGATTCTGATAATTGTATTGACAACTTCTGACATTTTTATTTATGATTTTTGGCTTTTCTTCAAGGGTTATTATTTCAAAAATAATTTTCAGTAACATGTTACTATGTCACATTCTTTCTCTCTTGCTATTTGTTTTAAATCTGGAGTTGATCAGGCCTTGAGTTTAGCTGTAATGAAACTCATGGCTCTGGTTATGGTATCAGAAACAGACAAAAGCTGGCAGGATAGTATCTGAGCGTCTCCTCCCCAAAGATTTCCTGTGTGATTATTGAAATATCTCTGATGAAAGCCATGGCCTTTAATTATAGAAGTAGAGATGAAGTATGAACTGGTATGTTACCTGGCAATCAGATGGTTTAGAATCCCACGAAGTGGTACCACACTGTTGTGCGTGCCATTTGAGATCAGAGACTGATGGATAAGGGAGAACACGAGAGCAATGGGATTAAGGTTATAGGCAGATAAGAGGAATGAGTCTGTTCAGTGCTTACACACAAGGTAATATTTATCAATATCATGTAATTCAAAATATCTAAAAAGGATATTGACTGTTCTCATAAAAAAATATGTGAGATTATGCATATATATTGAGTTGATCAATATACTATACATAAATGTATCAAAACTGCTCCCATAAAGATATACAATTATTATATTAAAAAAACAGAAATGACTAAAGAAAATTGGTATACTATAAGTGACAAGTATGAGCAAGATATATCTTTTCCCTTCTAAAGAATCCCAAATCAGGCTTTATAATACATGTGGAAGAATGTACAACAAGCAAAGTAAAAAAAAAAAAAATCAGGCAAATTTAATAAAGAAAAGGCATGCTAGACAAAAAAGCAGACATGTCCCATAATCTTGGAAAATGTAAAGACTCATTAATAATTTAAGGATTGTAAAATTGCAATAATATAGTTTTCCTACTGACAGCATAGATGTCTTTAAGCTAATATGTAATATTTAAAAGGTGAGTTGAGACATTCACATTCCATATATATACAAGTTTAAATTGTTTTTTTTTTTATTTTTCAAGAGAGTACAAAATAAGGATTGGGGGGGGTGGCTCAGTAGAATAAGCGCTTCCCTGGCCAGCGCAAGGACCTGAGTTCAATACCTGGTTCTGCCAACAACAACAAAAAAAATTAAAAAAGGAGAGTATGAAATAGTATTAAAACAGAAAATATTGTAACTGATGCATAATTTCACTAAACAAAAACATATGACTTTGACAGTATTTGTTGTATTGCTCAGTGCTGCCTTCAAATTAGTTCTTCAAATTACCAGATATAAGCATGCAAAATTGGAAAAAAGAAAAAAAAACTTACAAGAAGTTAAGAAGAAATCAAAAGGAAAAAATATTGAAGAAAGAAGACAAAAAATTAAGCAGTGACTACTTTCCATAGAACAGCAGAAATCCACAATACAGTTGTTCAAAACGTCCTGTTTAGATACACAGATAGATGTCTTTCACCCACTCCCTCTTCTGTCCTTATCTCAGTAATTCCTTCCTTTTGCACAGGTTCATTCCTTTTCACAGTATCTATTGAACACTTCAGATTTTATTTACTCTTTCAAGTTCTTACACTAAGGAGACCATACAATGTTTGCACATGCAGGTCTGATTTATTTCACTTAAGAGTGTGGTCTCTAATTGTATCCATTTACCAACAAAAGCCTCAAATTTATCCTTTTATAGGTGAATAATACTCCATTGTGTAAACATACCATATCTTCTTTATCCACTCCTCAGTTGATGGGCGTCTGGGTTGCTTCCAGGATGTGGCTCTGACAGATTGCACTGCCATAAACATGGGTGCACATATATCACTGTGGTATGAGGTTTTCAGTTCTTGAAAAATACCAAGGAAGGGAATAGCTGGCTTGAATGGAATCTTCAATCCTAGCTTTTTAAGGAATCTCCACACTGATTTCCATTGTGGTTGTACCAGTCTGCACTCCCACCAACAGTGGATAAGGGTTCCTTTTTCCTGACATGCCCTCCCACATTTCTTATTGGTTGACTTCTTGATGATAGCCATTCTTTTGGGGTGATATGGAATCTCAGTGTTTTTTTTTTAATTTGCATTCCTCAGTTGACAAAAGATGTTGACATTTTTTTCATATGTTTATTTCCATTTGTATTTCTTCATCTGAGAAGTATATATTCATCTCAGATGCCCAATACTGGATTGAGTCTGAATTTTGGAGGCCTAATTTTTTTAAGTTCTTTATATGTTCTAGATAGAAGGCCTTTGCCAGAGGGACAGTTGACTATAATATTTTCCCAGTTCATGGGTTTTCTTCTGACTCTGTTGGTGATTTCTTGTGACTTGCATAAGCTTTTCAAAAAGATCCCACTTGTTGATTCTGTGAAGTGCTTCCCGTGCAGTTTGGTGTTTGTTCACGAACTCTCTACCTAACCCTGTGTCTTTAAGATTTGTACCTACATCTTCCTCCAGGAGATTTAATGTTTCAGATTTAATATTTAAATCTTTGATCCATTTTACTGTAGATTAGTGCATGATAATAGACACAGGTCTGATTTTAGCCTTCAAGGTGTGAAAAGGCAATTTTTTCAGCACCCTTTGTTAAAGAGACTTTCTTCCAGCAATGTGTTTGGCCTCTTTGCCAAAAATAAGTGGCTCAGTGTATCTACAGTTATCTGTGTCTTCTGATTTGTTCCACTGGTCCTCAGGGCTGTCTTTATGCCAGTACCATGCTGATTTTATCACAGTATCTTTGTAGTATAATTTCAGGTTTGCCCCTCCGACAAAGGCCTTCCATCTAGAACATATAAAGAGCTTAAAAAATTAAGCCTCCAAAATTCAGACTCCATCCAGGATTGGGCATCTGAGATGAATATACACTTCTCAGATGAAGAAATACAAATGGAAAATAAGCATGTGAAAAAATGTTCAACATCTTTTGTCATTTGAGAAATGCAAATTAAAACCTGAAATTATACTACTACAAACAGATAGTTTATCTGGGATTGTGATGCCTCCTGCCTTTCCAGGGTTGCTTTTGATATTCTGAGTTTCCTCTGGTTCCAGATGAATTTTAGGAATGTTTCTCTGGATCTTTGAGGTATACTAATGGTATTTTAGTTAGGATTGCATTGGCTTGTATAACAATTTTGGGAGTATGGTCATTTTCACGGTGTTCATTCTTCCTATCCAGGAGCAAGGAGTATTTTACATTTTCTGAAATCCTCTTCAATTTCTTTTCTCAGAGTACTGTAATTTTCATTGTATAATTTTTTTACTTCCTTTGTGAGATTGATTCCTAAGTATTTCTTTCTATTTTTTTATGTTATTGTTAAAGATGTGGTTTCCATAATTTGTCTCTGGGTGCATTTGTTGTTTGTGTACAAAAATGCTATTGATTTTTGAGTATTGACTTTGCATCTTGCTATCCTACTAAATTTGGTTATTAAGCCTACAAGTCTCTTGGTAGAGTTTTTGGGATCTAGAAGCTTAAATGGTTAAAACAGCCCTGATAATAGCCTTGAAATAACAAATACATAAACACTTTACCTTCTGCATTATTTTCATATTAATCATAGAGGTATTTAAAAATAAAAATGAAGGAGAAGCAGAGCTTCCTGGACAAATACTCAGAGAGATAATTATCATTAAACATACTATAAGAAGCACTACATGGAGGGTCCAGGGAGATAGCTCAGTAGAATAAGCGCTTGCCTGGCAAGCACAGGGTCCTGAGTTCAATCCCTGGTAACAAAAAAAAAGAAAGAAAGAAAGACTAAAGAGTTCTTAAAGTTGAGGAGAATAGAAGCTAAAACAACATACATGATATCATTTTTATTTTTTAAACATTTTTATTAGTATATGTGTATAGTACATAATGATTACATGTACCATGGGAAGCTCACACATATACATAACACCACTTAAGTTTCTTGTCCCCGTCTCTGCCATCCCTTCCTGTTCCCTCCGTTTCTTATTCCCCTATCCATAGGCAAAAGAACTATGATTTTCTGGGCTGGCCGGATTTTTTCCAACACTTTGTATGATCCACTCTTTCCTAGCCTCTGAGGTTTCTGCTGAGGAATTTGTTGATTACCTTATAGAAGGTTACCTACAGAAGGAGCCTCCCTTTTACATGGAACTCTTTTTCTCTTGTTACTTTCAAAATTCTCTCACCTTTATTGTCTTCTGACAATTTCTGTGTGTTAGGTAGAACCTGCTGTCTCCAGCTATTGGGGTTTTTCTGAATGTCACAAATATGGATATCGAAAAAAAAACCCAAATATGGATTTCCATTTTCTTCCCCAAGTGGGGGGAGTTGTCAGTCTGTCCACTTACTTTTCTGCCTGTTCCCCCCACCTCCCTTTGGTTCAGAAGGTTTTAGCTGTGTGAGATGCCATATGCCTGTAATCTGAGCACTCTGGAAGTGTGAAGCAGGAGGATCACAACTTCTAGTCTCTGCTGGGCAATGTAGTAATACCTTGCCTCCGAATAAATACATACATGATGGAAAATTTTGCCCATTTGTCTGTCCTTTCTCCTTTTTGTATTCCTTTTTATTATTAATTTTATTGAGAAACAAATAGCAGTGAGACAGTTTCAAAACAGATTAGTAGGACAGTTACAGTAATTAATATTGTATATTGTTGTTTTCATAGTAGTTCTTTGTAGTACAAGATGCAGACATGATATCTTGTCCAAACATTATTAGTACAAATCCTTCTTCTCATTCAATTAAGAGAAAGTAGCTGTATATCTAGTCTAACTATTTTGTATATGCAGATACAAAATGGTCCTTCATTTATGCCCCACTTTTTTGTTTAGTTTTGTCAGAGATGGGTATTCCAGTGC